GGGACCACCCTCTGCGCAGGCCATACAAACCGCCGACCTAACTCGGCGATTCGTTGTGGTTTGTGTAAGAAATCCACATCTGACGATATTTGTGTGTTCTACTACACCACAATGACGACACACCGGTTGAAGTAGGCGAAGATCGCCACAAAGGGGCCAAGAATTGCGGTGGGTGGCGAGCTGCCGCGCGATCCGGCACGACAGCGGTTAGGTCGTCGAACTGTGCCAAGTGAGTGGAACAAAGCTTCTCCACTAGGCTTTGATGAGCGGCACACAATGTGCCAGTAGTGCATTATGGTTGCAGGTGGTACCTAGAGTGAAGGTCGGTGGCGGCTGGCGGCCGGGGAGTGAGCTGCCGGTCGCTCACTTCGAAATTTGCGTCCTCATGAAGAAGTGGTCGAAGAGAGAGCGAGCGCCCGGATCCAGCTCTGTGCAGAGAAGGTGAAGAGTGCTGAAACTCGTGAGAGCAGGCCGTGTGGCATTGGACAGCGCCCGGCAAATTGCAAGGCGCTGCTTCGTTGCCAATGGCAACGAATGAGGCCGTAGTGAATTGGCTACAGCTGGACGGACGGAGCTACACCAGAAGGGGCGCGCGGTGTCAGGTGGTAACGGATCGGGACGAGGAATCCCTGACCATTGCCAAATGAAGGCTTGGCTTGCAAGGAACATATGGATACGGTCGAGTGTGAACCGGACGGAAGGTGGCGGTCTCGAGTGAAAAGTATTCACAGGAGGTGGAGTAAGCGAGAGGTCTCTGGACGAGGAGGATTAGAGCACATTGAGACGAACGAGTGACGAAGTAGAGTGCTAAATGTAGCGCTTTATTGTGATTAATAAATAGGACCAGCGGTCCGGCTACTTCAGGTCACCAACAGCAGTGTGGATTTAGGTGAGCCGGCGCTGAACCTAAGCGCGCACACGCAGCAAGCACTGTGTCTGCCAACCAACCGGAAAACAAACGTTACGCATACTTGTCACAGCATGATCGTTGGTAATACTGGAGACAAAAGTCACGAATGAAACTTTCTGTTCTCGTCCATTTTAAAATTCAAATACAGCATGTATCTACTGCGGCTAGGTGTATATGACAAAATCAAGCTCACACGTGGGACATTAACAGTAATCACAGCCAACATCTAAACTAAGCAAATTTTTAATTTTTCAGCAGACACCTCAATATTTTTTAAACCGATTGAAGTACGATTTAATTTTAGGTCTTCTATAACTTGATATAGCACCTTGCTCTTCGTCGTGTCTATTTTCGCTTAAACGTCTTCCACGAACACCAAGATGTCCCCTATCACGAGCTACAGGAAAACCATGACCGCGATCAAATCCGTTTGCTCGATTTCTTTTCCTTTCTGCTTGCAGCACAAGTCATTTTCTAGAAGCCGTTGAGTTTAATGATCGGAAATCTATCCGCTTGGACACATACACCGGATCCAGCAAGGCGTAGAATGTACAGGGCATCAGTGCTCGTGGTTTGTGACGTTAGGCTTGCGCGGAGTGCGAATCAGAGAAAGGCAAAACTAAGCTCGATACCTCCAGGCCCATGTTTTCTTAGAGACATGACTTGCTTCACCGTGGTGTATGTGATGCTGTATCATAGCTTTCAGCAGATCAAATCCGATGCCTAAGTTGTTCCCTCGCTGCAATGGTTCCTGGTCGTGGTGGATCCTGTAAAGGATATTAATAGCCTCGACTTGAGTGGCCAACGGGCAAGTGTAAATTGAGCAATTTTAGCTGAATTGGCTGCTCGAGCTTTAGACGCCGAAAACCACGTTGGGTACGACATTGGTTGAATTCTTGAAAATATTCGAGCTAATAAAATTTGACCCGCGAGTGAGCTTTCAATTTGACAACAAGAGTCGATTCTTTTGTGGTTTGACTGAAAAGGCGCTGTCATTTCTCGCAAAGACAAAATGCTACCTGTAAATGAAATCGATGGTACTTACATAAAGTATCCGGGTTACAATGGGTTTTTGTATCACGTTGTGACGTTGATTGGAGACGATTAAGAAAGAAGAAACGTACTTGTGGTGAAGTGCTTTCTCAATAAAAAGAGATGGGATATGATGAACAGTCACACACCCAGGTTAGTGATGGTGCCTGGTGGATATGAGATCCGTGCGTGGATTTGAGTTATATAAAGTGGGTCGAAGTCGAACCTGCCACGATGAAGCTGTGAATGGCGCACATGGTGTGAAATGATTACCGCAGGTTAACGTTTCAGGGGTGGAGTACCTAGATTCGGACCCTATGGGTATTTGTATAAGAAGCTACAGGCGATGGATCTTGGGGATCGCGGTCGTTATGAGTATGGAGACTGGCTGACGAACAAGACTGGTAGCAGTGTGACTGAGATCCTCCAAGTGTGTGTGTGTTTGGGGGGGGGGGGCAGATTCACCTTCGTCCGAGTACGCCTATGAGCGGTGATTGGATCCACCATGGACGAGTGGATCGAGTAAGGACCCAGAAGAAGATAGGGCTGTAGACACCACTTGAAGGTGACTCCGGCTTGTATGACTGATGAGAAGACAAGATCCACCACTAGATGCTCCAGATCCACTGTCCCGTGTCCATATCCAACGGATCGAGGATACCATATTGGGGACTGGAATATGTGGTATAAAGTATGGATCTCAAGCTTCTGTAAGGGGATGGAGACTGAAGTTGTGCCAGGCGTCATCGATACAAACGAGAGCGGTGTGGTTAGTGGGACCGAATGAACTACGGACAGCCCATGCGTAGCCGTCACAGTTCAGTGCGATAGAGATAGAAATAGAGGCCCTTGAAGTACAAGGTATCTGGGAAGCGTTCCCCTCGAGGTGTGCACGTCCTACATACGAATTGGGTTGTTCAAAACTAAGAAAGAAGCGGAAGGGCTCGTAGAACCGCCGAAGGCGCGCATAGTTTCTCGCGGCAACGAGCAGGAGCCTGGACCAACAACTGGATTACTTTCGCGGCTGTCATCGTAATGACCACTGGGAAGGTCATCCTCGTCCTGGCTAGAAAGTGACGTGTCCTTGCCAAGTAAACGCATTGGCGGGAGCCGGGGTCCCGGTGGGACCCCGGTACTCCCAAAACAACCGGTATCCAACATGGATGTTTTAATACTGATCATAAATGTACCAATTTTTAACCTGCTGTCGGCTTTGGTTTGGTTGAAAAGAAGTGGAGGATCGACGGTTGGTTCGCCTTCATCAGGGGTTTCTTTTTCTTTGGACGGCCAGATGCTCGCTTGGCCGATGTAGGAGCGGACGTGGGGGGTGCTTCGTCCTCTTGGTGCACTGCGGCGTTTATTATGGACTCCGGCACCTGGGGATAGTAGTGGCGGTGTTGCTTGGGTATTGAGAAATACTTAGCGGAGAGGGATTTGATCTTTTTATCAGACAGCACCTTTGTCTCGTGACGTGGAAGCTGTACGCGTTTAGTGGATGCTTCCCAGATAGTTGTAATACCCGGGCCGAATAGCTCAGCCCAAAACGCTTTTCGAATAGAGGTAAGGTTGCTCTGCTTAACCATTGAGAAGGTAGCAGAATCTTCATCAGGTGTGTTGACTGTCTTGCGTGCAGTACATATTCCTTGGGTGCGGATTATATCGGAGTACAAAAAGGATGATCTTCGAGTACATGCTCAACAAGGATGGTTTGCGAGTACAAATGAAAAAAAAATGGATTGGCGAGTCCATGGCTCGAAAAGGATGAGTTGCGAGCTCCCGATTTCACGGAGAACACTATTTATGGCTCACTAGGAAACGCTATTTACGGATATGTGGTGCACCCCAGTTGATGCCTGTCGCAACCATAGCTGCCTGTGACTGCTGGTGGCTGGCTGTGGCTAGCGATGGTTGGCTGTGGCTACCGGTGGCTGGTAGAGGCTGCCGGTGGTTGGTAGAGGCTTGTTGGGGCGAGTAGTGGGTTTCCTGTTGCTGCCTTGGTGTTCAGTTGTACTCTCAAAGTCGCCATGTCGGAGGCGTTCGCAGTCATCGACGATGGCGCGGGTTTTTCCGCCTCCAGCCGACGAGCCCAGCTTTACCCGACTGTCGGTGCATCAATCCCACGAGGACGCGCTTCGGAGGCCCAACTGCTCTACCAGTCACTCTACCGCGTTCAGGTACTCAACAGCGAGCATGACCCGTTCGAGGTGTCTCCAAAATGGAGTGCAGACGATGTACGTACTTGATCTCATCATGGCAGCGACGGTTCTGACTGTTCTTACTCTAGATCCGAATGGTGCGTCAGTGCTATGTGTGCGATTGCTCTGAGTCACGCCAGTCAGGATGGATGTGCGAGCACATTGTCGCGACGATGGCGCTCCTCGAGAAGATCAGCATCGACGCGTTGTTGAGTGTGCTGCCAGTTCGACGACGCCCGGGAGGTCAGTTCAAATCCCGCGGCGCGCTCGCCCGCACGCGGTTCAACAAAAGCGACGCGCGGTTCTTCGGTGTCTCGCACCTGGAGCAGCTTTTCATGGAAAGCCCCGCCGCGCCAACACACTGGCACGTGACCAAGGAGTTTAGTGTGAAGAACAGGGGGCAAGTGCTACGTGAGCATGTGCCTGGACATGTTGACCGTTGGCTCGAAAATGGCGGTCGCTATCAGTGGAAGGTCAAGTTCTCAACCGGAAATGTGGAGCTTATGGACGTGAACAGCTCGCAGCTGCTGTCGCCTACAGTCACGCACTAGGTATGCGAGTCATCCCATAGTCTCCGGTGACACTGACCAAACTTGTCGGTTCTTGCGAATGTACTCGGTGATCCACCTTTTATGATGCCATACTTGCCAATCCACCTTTTTCCCAAACTGTACTCGCAAGTCATCCTTTTTGTGTGTGTACTCGGAGATCATCCTTTTTGTACTCGCGAGTAAGCTCCCCCCATATTCCTTCGTCAATTTCAAACACGTACTTTGATGTGTAACCTGCAGGAGGCTCAGTAAGATATTTCGCCAGCAAAATGCCCCATCCTGTGTAAAACGGGCGCATAGGGTCGGTGTAGTCTAGAAAAACACCTTCTACACTCTTAGCCTTGTTGACTTCACTGACAAGATCAGACGGTGTGTACAAATTGGGTTTGCGCACAGCCCGGCGGCACCAGGAAATCACTCTGTCTGCAATGTTGTGTGAATGTCCACGAAGTAAAAAACACAATACCACTTTCTGGTATGGAAATTTTACAGACAGCATAGCAAAAAACATCATAACAACCTTCGACTTATTTTGGCCAACGCAGTTGTCAAGTATGCTGAGGCAAATTTCAGACGGGGGCACGCCATTTATTGCATTAGCTTGCAGCGTTGATAAATGGTGAAGTATTCTTAAACTACAGAGGGCATCTGCATTCTTGCCTTGGGCACGCTCATCATAAAAATAAACATGATTGCGGTTGCTGGTAATGTCAGCGACGACAAAATTCTGGATATTTAAGTTACTGTTGAAGTAGTCCGCTGAAGGACGAGAGTTACCATAGTGAGGCATAGATATTCCACTTCCATAGTCTTCGGCTTGTATCTGTACACGCGGATGCTGGTCTAATTGCGGTAGCTCATCCCCAGATACGCGGCCATCACTTAAATCGCTGTCGCCCGCGTCGACAGTGTCAGGAATGGTCGTCGTAGGCAAATTTTGGTCCGGGGCACGCAGTACAGCAAATCTCTTTACAAACGTCGAAACAAAACGCCTCTGTGCAATAGCGTCATCAAGATGGGTACGTTTCTCCAAAATGGCGTTGTTTTTTCTCATCCTCTGTTATGTCTGTCTGTTGCAAGATGATGTCCAGACGAACACAGCAATCACTCACGTCCTCCTTAGTGCGCGTCAAGCGTACACCAGGATAAAAGAAATGAACGTACTGAGTAAACCTCTCATAGCTCATGGTACGTGCATCTGGGTCAGCTCGCGTTACTTCATCACAATAGCGTTCGTGTAGCAGCTTCCAGGTCACCTTAGGCTCAGTAAAATACTGACGTGGGCGACGATGAGGGCAAGGAAAACCGTCCTCTAGAATCCATGTCAAACAGTGAGCTTTCAATGTATCCAAAACCTCCGGATCAAATGCATGCGAAGGTTTCTTAGGTGGTCGTCGAGTGTGCAGAACTTCAACTCCAGATTTGATTGTCTTTCGAAGTCGTGCAATTCGGCTGCCGCCAACAGGAATATTGACTTTATTTCACGCTCAGATAAGTTGTGTTGCAGGAGGACCTTTCTGTCGTTTACGGGTCGGGATTGTCGATTGTGTCCCCCCTCCACGTCTCTGCATACTGGTTCTTACTACTGTTGGAGACGTGCAGCTGGAAATGAGAGCTCGCCACCTCCATGCGTGGGTTTCAATCTGCAGCTCCAAAAATAAAATAAATAATTATGGAATTTGTCGGTATCATTTGCGGAAACCCGGGGTCCCGCCAATGCGCTCACATGTCGCGTACACCAATACTGCCAAAGAGGATGAGATGGACATCTTTGTTAGCTTCCCGAGTTGGAGGAAGACCTCCGCGAGCATTTTAGTGCGTCTGGGAGTTACGTCCGAGGACGAACTTGTAATAGAGTTACAAAAGGCGTTAATGAACTAAAGCAAGCGGGCCGGCTATAGAGCAAGCTCCTGCACCGCAAGCTTATTGAGATCGGATTCGTGCAGGCCAAGTTGATCTGTGTGTATACGTTAGATGATGGAAAGGCGTTCTAGTCGCTATTGGAGTGTACGTTGACAATTCGCTGACCACTTGGACCGGGCGGAACGACGTGAATGATTTCTTTAGTGAACTGAGCTCTCAAGGACCCCGGCGGAGCCCACAAATTCCTATGCGCGAAAAACTACTTGGAGATCGGCAATACGATCTGGATCAAGAAGTGACGACTAAGAGTCTGTTGGAGGAGCTCGAAAAGTAGAGTATACACGGTGGGAGGACGCATCTTGTAGACGAGTGAAACGATGTTCCGAGAAAGGAGGCCGAGCTGCTACCGGTGACGGCACCAGCGGGAATCATCACCGGCTTCAGATTCCAATATCTTGTTAGCAGCCTTCTATGAATTGCAAGATGTACCAGACCGGACATTGCGCTCGAGGTGCACAAGGCGACGCGGAGAGCGCACAGCGGATGATTGGAAGCTTGCAAAGCGAGTTGTTAAATATCTCGCCGGAACCAAAGATATGCGCCAGAAGAATCAAGGGTCAGGAGTAGCTTGTAAGGAGCAGGAGACGATCGGAAATAGTGACGCGGTTTTTGCCGCGAGCACAATGATCCGCGAGATGGTGACTGGTGGATTCGTCAGGACAGATGACATGGCTGTGGGCGGGATATATCGTAAGCAAGGTGATGCGTCGTTATCCACCATGGACGCGGAATTCAGTGCGGCGTCCGTGGCGGACAAAACTTGATTGGCATTAGAGAGCTGCTCGATGAGCTGGGGCGGCATTCGCGCGCGCCATTCGTTCTGCGGGTTGACAATCAAGCTGCCTTCAAGCAACTGGCGGGCGAAAAGACGCTACCCAAGGTCAAGCACCACCACGAGGGAATTGCTCTATACGGCCACTATCAGCAATTCGGTAAGCAATGGAGCGGGAGATTCCGTCGTTTGCAGCTACGGACAGCCACCTGTGCGGTGCTATTCATTTTTTGTAAAAGTTGAAAATATCTGACAGCGCGACAAACGGGTCCAGTACAACGTCTTAACTTTATGGGTGGCAAGAGAGGGGTATCTGAAACACGATCTGCAGCCTTGTTGGACAAATGTCATTGAAAAGGTTCATTAAACGGGCTCTTAAATATTAGAGAGCTGCAGTTTCTGGAGTTGCAATAAGGAAAATCTAAGCAAAAATCCGGATTAGCCAATAGGAGATTTCCGTGTGGGTATTTTGAGATGCTCCAGTACTTAGCTCCAGTGGTTTTATTGTGTATTCCAGCCAACTCTGCCAATCGTGCACTGCGTGGGCTGAACTATCCAATTTCAAGTCGTTTTGCAATTGGCACTCGTTATTTAGCCAGACTGGGTAACAAGAGACAGTACAATTACACCAGAATACAACCGATTAGCATGCCCGAATATGCCAGACTCAGGAAGAGCCGGACGTGTCATCAGTTGACGTGTCTTCGGAGTATACGTATAACCGGATGGCAGTGTGTTGGCTTTGAAACTGAACCCCGCAAGACGGTCAGCATCTAACTCTCAAGACAAAGTGCAGGGGGAATAACCTGGAGGTAGTCAACGCATCAAACACACTAACAAAAGACCAAATCATTGAAAAACTAGTTGCATTAAATGCACATGCACAGGTACCGATAGCGCAAATACTGTAGCTCCTTCCGACTTAGCAGATATAGGTTTTCAGCACCGGCAAATATCTCAAAAGCTAACAGCATATACATGCCACAATTGTAGCTATCAACCTGCACTCCAAGCTCGCTCGTGTATGGTCGAATTCGGTATTTTCTTGTAGCGAAATCTGGCAGCAATGCTACCATCTTCTCAGCGAGAGGTCGAACTTTTACGCCGTAGCTTGAGCTCATTGGATCATAGATAAAAACTTTTTTAAGCGACAGATCCATCATAACCGCACACCAGTGATTCTTGTTGCAGATGACAGGAATCAAAATCTTTTGGTTTGTCATGCCAGCAAACACGTCCTTCATAGTCTCCACCGCTAAGAAACCATTCATGACGTTACCGGCGATTGACGTGTCTACAGCAATCGTGTCTTCTCTCGCTGCGAACAACTTTAACATCAGCTTATTGACCGTGCTGTCGCCTAACGCAGACTTGCCGACGAGTTCGAGTGCTTCAGCCTATGTGCAATTACACAGCAGTAGATATTAGTATTTCCATTGCGGGGCCTGACTGTATGCAACTGCGTACCTGCACCGATAGTAAAGGAATAGATTTGATCTTGGATTGTGTATCAGGATCAAGATCAACACAAAACCATCGGGGCATTTGGAGTTCGAAATCGATGGTATCAATCCAAACGATAGCTTTTTCCACATATTGGATGGTTTTCATCGCTTTGTGCCACTTCTTCATGACACCCAGCGTCTCGGTGGAGTAGGTACCTACTCCAACAATTTCCACGACAATGTCCTTCTCACCTAGATTTTGATCACTTGATTCCTTGTGTGCCTTCTGAAGAGCTAGCACTTTGGCACTGCATCTATCAAGGATATCCTTTCGGAAAATTCGGGGGATGGACTCAGCAGAGACGATCTTTTTTGAGGCGGGAAGTCTTGCTACCTTGTGGGCAACTGGAGCTCGGGGATTTTTTGTGAAATCGAACAGCTTAAATCTGGACACAATTGCGGCAGATGTCTCGTATGCTGACTCAATGCGTACGGCGTCTTGTATGGTTGCTAAACTCAGATTATCCGAGTACAAATTTGAATCATCTTGCACCATCAAAACATTTTTGCGGCGAGCTGCTTTCTTGGATTTTGCACTTTGCTTTGGGCGACCTCGGGACCTTGGAGGGCTCGCCACATCAAATGTATCATTTCCGACCGGTTGCAGAGTCGCATGAGAAGCTGAAGTCTCCACACCAGTCTGACAAATAAGCTCGGCCGACACCGAACCAGACTCTCCAGACTGGATGCCAGACTCTCCAGACTGGGTGCCAGACTCGCCAGACTGGGTGCCAGACTCGCCAGACTGGGTGCCAGACTCGCCAGACTGAGGTGTAATCTGCGTAGAAGGCTGTGATAATTCAGGGTCTTCCACTTCAACCTCGCCCACGGTATCTGAGTCGAAGACATCGTCGCGCGTACCTTCACTGATTGTCGGCATCTTAATCGATGAAGAAAAATCTCCAACCTTGAAACGGTGGGCGACGGCCTTTAAATAAGTCATTGCTTCACGATATTGGACCATGCCTAAACCAGCCATCGAATCGCAAATTTCACTAGCAATAGGCAAGGCCTCTCGGTACTTCCGGTTCGAATCCCATGGCCGCTCATCGGTCACCAATACCCTTCGAACGGCAAAAGATTCCACAGTAGTAGAAGCATCACTGGCGTTTTCGAACTCTATCGACGACCGTACAGACGACAGGACCCATCGCTGATGCACCAGTTGAGTCGGGATAACAGTCTCCTTGTTTAGTGCTCTTCTAAGAAAGAAGACGTGTCGACACGGCAATAAACGTGTACTCATAAAGAGACACGAGCAAGTCCAGTCGTGAGTCGTAATAGTGTACTCTGCGTCTACCTCATCGAGGGCGTCTTCATCGGGGGATGTACTCTTCACAAAGTACACACCTGGCGCTCTCTCGGAAAAGGCGTAAGATGCACGATCAAGTGCGTAGCAATACTGATCGTGTATTAACTCGCATGCATGTTCACTGACGAGGTTTGCAACCAACGTCATTTTGCGATCGTAACCAACATGCTGGACATTAACCTTCTTGTACACCTCATCCATAAATCGTCGCTCTTGAAGACTCTGGTAATACATAATCGACGCTATGCATTCGTCCACTGCCATAAAAGAGTTTACCCACTCCTTCAACTGCTTCCACGAGGCCTCCAACCTGTTGTTGGTGTTATTACCAAGCGTCACGGTGTTTTGGCGCTTGTGTGCACACCACAGCTCGCGACATTTGTCCCAATTCTTAATGAAATAGGCGACAAAAGGGTGTCGGACGGATTCAAACGGTTCCACTATTGTGTTCGTAGTTTCACAGCGTTCAGACTCGGATGTGGTATGATTCCGCGCTTCTGTCGCCACATTCTGCCCGACCGCCACAATATTCTGCCCAGCTGGTGCCAGATTCTGCCCAACTGGTGCCAGATTCTGCCCAACTGGATCTGAAGTCAATTGCCCAGATCGGGGGCGCCCCATTCCGCACACGTGCAACATGTACCGAAAGTGCTTCATATACTCTTTCTCGGTCTTCGCATATACAAGCAGGTTCATCAGACCTCGTAGCTGATCCTTTTCCCACGTGTTACAACCGTAGTCTGCTGACGCGATTTCCTCCCGCAAATACTTTAAGACGTGAAATTGGCAGAGCAGGGTAGTGACGTCAGGGAAAGCAGTCTTCAGTACCGATAGTTCCGTGAAGTCCTTGTCGATCAACACGCAGCGTAGTTTTGTCCAAGCCGGATTGTTACTCTTAAATTCTTCAAGCGCCGTCAGTAATGTCGGCCATCGCTCGTTCTGTAGTAACGCGTGCTGCACAAATTGGCCTTTTCCAAAGGTATCGTGAGCCATAAAAGAGAAAACTTTATACTTTGAACGGTTTGTTCCGTGCGTCGCGTCAATGAGAAGAACTTCCGGAAATTGTTTGTAGACCGATCGCATGTGTTTAGTCTGTAATGTAATACATGTTGCAATTTTCTAATACAAAGAACATGTTAGATGTTATGAATATAATGTATTTGATTCACTAAATACACATACCTTTTCCCCGACATCGTCTACGAATATACGACCCACATTCCCGACATTATCTCCAAACTCGGCCATCCACTTCTTCAATCGTTTTGCGCTCGAACTTGGGCCGTTTCTGTTTTCACGAGCTTTCAGCTTGCTCACGAGGCTGTGAACATCCTGTGGCTTTGGATTACTATCTGAATTGTCTCTGATAAACTTCAGAATACTGGTCTTCTTTGCTCCAGCCTTTCGAAGCTCATTCACCGTCCGTAAGGCACTGTCATCGAGAGTAATCCGGTTGGAAGGATGACTCTTGAATGCATACTC